CATGGTTGAGGGCATCCTCAGCGCAGTCACTGAGAGGTCTAGAAGAACCATCAGGGACCCACTCCCTCTGTTCAGTTCCCAGTGTAAATCATCCACCAAGGTGACTAAAGCACTCTCCATCCCATAGCCAGGCCTGAAACAAGACTGAAATGGATCTAGACATCTCATCTCATCCAGGAATCCCTGGAGCTGAGAAGCCACCACCTGCTGCAGTCTCTTGGCCAAGAAAAGCTATATGTGTAAAGTCAACCTTTTAAGGAAGCAAGAGCCCCTGAACCTCATGCTGGACAGCACTGCTGCTGAAGAAGAAATGGCTAAACTCTTGCTGCCTGCATTACTGGCTCGGCTTTGCCTTCCATGCAATTGTGCTTAAGGAGGAATCCCTGGAGCTGAGAAGCCACCACCTGCTGCAGTCTCTTGGCCAAGAAAAGCTATATGTGTAAAGTCAACCTTTTAAGGAAGCAAGAGCCCCTGAACCTCATGCTGGACAGCACTGCTGCTGAAGAAGAAATGGCTAAACTCTTGCTGCCTGCATTACTGGCTCGGCTTTGCCTTCCATGCAATTGTGCTTAAGGATCAGAGCAATTTCATTCCCTAACCTTCGAAGGACAGACATCTGTAGCATCTGCAACACAACAAGGTCCCTTCCCAATTATCTAGCAATGACTAAGCATTCTACAAACTGTATCACACATTAAAAATTGCCTCCAGTAATATAGACACTGTTCATTTCCTCCTCGACATTTTTTTTCCAAAATAAAACAAAAGAACAAGAAAAAAAGAGAGTAAGGAGGGGGGAGGGATGAAGCCACTTCACAAAAACATTTGTAGGAAATGAACAATCGTGACATAGTACATACGAACAATATGTATGTCCAAAAAGATACCCACATAGATTTGGTGATACAATGGATGTTTTGATAGATGAAATACTGAGATCATCAAACTATTGGCTGAAATACTATTGCCTAGCATAGTAATTCACACTAGAGTAGGCCCATTGAATCAGTGGGGATTTAGTGAGCCAACCCTTCTGTAAGTTCCATTGAATCAAATGGAGATGTTCTCCTTGTGACTTCCTTTAGCGCAGTAAGTCATAGATAGAGTAGGCCCATTTGAATCAGTGGAATTTACAGAGTTCTCCTCGTAAATCCCCACTGACTGAGTGGGCTGACTCTCATGAGATTGACTGTGCTAAGCTACAAGGTTTCAGCCACAAGGTTTGCAACCCTCAATCCTGTTGTGACTCAGGAGTCTAGTAGTAGCTTGGACACAACTGAGAGACCCAGGAAGCAGTGGCCGCAGCAGAGGAGACACGAGGCCCAAGCACCTCTGGAGAACAGAGGAGCACCGGTGAAATTTCAGGGTCTCTTTGTCACAGGCTGCCACAAGTAGATGAACGTGACTCTTAGAAAGTCCACTGACACTCTCCGTTTGTTCAACTCAATGCTACAGGTATATAATTTAGAAGTGCATGGACATCTGTGAATATCAATAATTTTTCTAGAACAATCCTTGTGACTTCCTTTAGCGCAGTAAGTCATAGATAGAGTAGGCCCATTTGAATCAGTGGAATTTACAGAGTTCTCCTCGTAAATCCCCACTGATTGAGTGGGCCGACTCTCACGAGATTGACTGTGCTAAACTACAAGGTTTCAGCCACAAGGTTTGCAGCCCTCAATCCTATTGTGACTCAGGAGTCTAGTAATAGCTTGGACACAACTGAGAGACCCAGGAAGCAGTGGCCGCAGCAGAGGAGACACAAGGCCCAAGCACCTCCGGAGAACAGAGGAGCACCGGTGAAATTTCAGGGTCTCTTTGTCACAGGCTGCCACAAGTAGATGAACGTGACTCTTAGAAAGTCCACTGACACTCTCCGTTTGTTCAACTCAATGCTACAGGTATATAATTTAGAAGTGCATGGACATCTGTGAATATCAATAATTTTTCTAGAACAAATTTAATATACAGTGGGGTCTTGACTTAAGAACGGCTTGAGTTAAGAACATTTTGACTTAAGAACCGCTCTCATAGGAAAATATTGACTTGACTTAAGTACCTGGATTTGAGTTAAGAACTGGAAAAAAAACCACGTGGGAGGCAGGGAAAGTGCAAAGTGTGAACTTTCAGTTAACTGTTGGCCAGTGAAAAGGGTGCCTGTCTGCTTCCTCACTCCTCCCAGCGTTTAGAGAGTGGATTGGGAGACAGTCTTCAGACTGCCTGGTACTGTACTGCCTGGACTGTATTTTCCCTGCCTTCCCTGAACCTTTCTTGACCTAAGAAAAAAAGAAACAAAATATCCCCCTCTAGTGGTTGAAGGCGGAATAGCAGCTTCCCATTAGTTTCTATGGACGGAAAAGAGCAGATACGGATCAAATGGTTTTCAATGCATTCCTATGGGAAATGCAGATTTGACCTGAGAACTTTTTGACTTGAGAACCGCCTTCCAATACGGATTAAGTTCTCAAGTCAAGATCCCACTGTAAATTATAACTTCTGAACAGAAAAAAGCCATCATACAGCATAAGGACAAAGAGTAATTGTACATGTTGTATCACCAGCATCTACCTGGACCAGCTGCTTTCTTACTAAAAGGTGCTGTGGTCGCACATGTACTTGAAACACCCTATTTTTCTCAACTAACGGCCTTCTTCAGTTGTTCTGAAATCTAGGTCATCAAGATGGTTACAGATTTCCAGGGTTCTTGTTTGGGTATAGAGCTTACTCGCAAGCCGAAAACTTTCCTTGTGTGAACAAAGCTTTCTGTTGCAACTGTGTTAGTAATTCCAGATTACTGAAATAATTGGATAAAGCTACTATCACTAGGAATATGATTCATACACATGCTGAAATAGTTTCCCACTGATTATGTTACATGGGCTTAATTATTGTAGGTTTAAAGATCCAGTAATTCCTCTAACAGAATAGGAAATGCCAAAGTGCTATGTCCAAAAGGCACTGTAACTGTAAAAACTGTCACTCAGCACCAGCAGCGTGTTGTGCTGGAAGACCTCAACGTCCATGCCCAGGCAGCTCTGTCAGGAGTGTCTCAGAACTTCATGACCTCCATGACAACCACGGACCTGTCCCAAGTGGTATCTGCCCCCCACCCATGCTGCAGGTGACACTTTAGACCTGGTTTTCTGTACTGGCATAGCTGGCTGCCAATCTGTTTCTGGGCACAATTTGATGTGCTGGTTCTGATACCTATAAAGCCCTAAACAATTTGGGCCAAGCATCTCCCTCTATAAGCCTGCCTGGATGTTAAAATCATCAGGAGAGGCCTTTCTCTCAAATCCTGCCACCTTCACATGTGCATTTGGTAAGGACATGGGAGAGGACCTTCTCTGATGCCGCTCCCAGACTCTGGAACCCCCCGTCCCCAGAGGAGGCCAGGCAGGCCCCATCATTGCTGTCCTTCCACAAGCAGGCAAAGACCTTTCTCTTCAAGCAGGCTTTCCCTTAATGACTGGCTGCCTGAGTGAGGTTTGTTAAATATATTGCTGTACTTCACTTTGAATGTATTTTGGTCCTGCTTTTGTTTACCATGTTTAGAGTGATAAGGTGTTTGATTTTTTTCAGTATTTTATACTCACTGTTGTTAACTTTTTAATGATGTACAATAAGCTGCCTTGGGTCCTTTCTAAGGAGAAAAGTGGGATAAAATGTTTTAAATAAACTAAAAGAAACAAACATTTGTTGCATGCATTTCCACCCCTTCTTCACAAATCTCATGGCAGTGTCTATGGCTCTTCTGCGCCCCATTCTCCTCATTGGAGCAACCCTGCAAGGAAGTTCAGAAAGTGTTGCTTCTTTGGAGAGAGAGTGAGAGTAAATCGGTGTTTCCCAATCTTTTTTTTTTTAGTTGTGCGTCCCTTCTAAAATAACCAAGTAATCTTTGACACCCCCCCCAAAATGAATAAATAAATAAATAAATAAAACCAAGTAATCTTTGATCCCCCCCATACCATATTTGCATAAATTGGTATTTTAATTGGGTAAAGTAACACATTAAAATGCATTTTTCAGAATATAATTCTAACCTATTAATATATTAGGTTAGAAGGGGGCGGGGTTAAATCTGCCTCCACCAGATAAAATTTGAGATGAAAAATGTCAATCCATTCTGAGTTTAATTTACATTTTTGGGTGTGGAAACAACCCTCCCTTCATGTGTCCCCTCAAAAAGATCCCTTAGTGAAGAGATCGACTCCCCTCACTGCTTCTCCTCACCTTTTTTGACTTCTTGCCTTCCTCCTCCATGATTCGAGTGAGGCTCAGAGGCATCTCCCTACTGAGGTCCCCTCCCTTCACTGTGCTGCCATTGCCATACCAGAAGAGCGGGAAACTTGGGTGGAACGAAAGGCACTGCTGCTATGGCAGCAACTTTTCAATCCTGCTGCCATCTTGGGTGTCAGCGTTCCTGGCATGCACCAGATGCTTGCCTCATTCAGGCCTCTTTGAGCTAGGCTAATGCTCGGGTCCAATGGGCTGACGGAGGACGCGAAGCAGAGGAAAGAAACGTATAACTTTGTGGATAATGGCTGCTACAATTGCTCAGTCCAGCCTCATTATCATAAACACTACTCATCAGCTGAAACGGTTCCACCTTGCAGGTTGTAACGCAATGGGCTCTAGAAGTCTGTATGGCTAATTTATATACCGCAGAGTACCTATTTTTATTTATACTATTCCTCATCCTTTCAGACTCCTGTGCCAAGGCGTGGGACCTACAAACCTCAGTCCCAATTCTTTTCCTCTCTCTTCCTTCTTTTCACAGCAGTTCACAAAGAGAAAATATTCTAGCCTTTGTAAGAAGCATTAAAATAATGCTTGATTCAGTGTGAAAACATTTGCACTGATTAAGTTCAGTGTAGCTGCTTCATTCCAGGGCAAATATTTGAACTGTTCAATGATAGAATTTTGGAGCCTCGAATATTATGCCTGTGGAAGACCATACCAGCAGCACGGCTAAAATTTCAAACCAAAGTCACAACACATCTTTTCATTATGCCATCTTTATTAAGGGAAATAAAGGAAAATTTATCTCATCCCATTCATCTCAGGAAGAGCCCAGAAACATAGGAATTGTTCTGTCCTATCCTGCCCCACCATGCGGAGAATTCATCCAAACCCCTCTGAAGAACAAGACTTTGAGGACCGAGTTTTTTTCTCCCACAGTTTCTTCTCCCTTGAATGTTTGAGGGAAACAATAACTGCTAGTGTGGAATGGGGCACAATAAGGCAGATTTATCCTTCGCTTTCCAGCTAGCCAGAGCCCCAAATACTAAAGGAGAAACAAAGCTTTGCTTACCAGCTCCACTTCAGCTGAAATATGAGTGTCTAGGGCAGAGTATCAGACATTGACAAGAACCTTGTCCTGGAGGACACCACAGCCAGAAAAGAGAGTGCAGGATCGGTAGAATCATCTCTTGGTGCCATCAAAAATACAACAGTGCACTCCTTTACTTTGTTCTCTGGCACTGGTCCCTCCTGGGGACCCTCTGTATCAGTCCCATTGCTCCAAGGTGATATGGGCCCAACTATCCTGCTGAATGGCTGAGATAGCCTGTGCTCTGCTCTACCTGAATAGAGCTTCAGGGGCATCAGTGGGAATACCAGTTCCCTGGCTGGCATGTGGGCACTTGGGAAAGCAGAGTGTATGCTCCATGTACAGAAAACACTGCTGGAAGCTTAAGGCCAAGGAGAAGTCAAATGTTTCAGCTCTGTCCTCATCACTTCAATATTAACCAGTGTCTCACAGAACCACTGCTTAGCCTCTGGCACCATAGCAGTAGGGGATACAGAGGACAAGAGAATATGGGCATCGGCAGCCCAGATGGCAAGACTTAAATATAATGGGCTGAGCCTCATGTCCCACTTTCACTGTCTCTGCTCACTTCCCAGAAATTTTAAAAAAATGACACACATGTTTAGTAACCGGAGCAAAAAGAGAGAAAAAGAAACAAAGGGGGGGAAAAGTGTTGCTTAACCCCATCACCTCTTCTCCTGTAAATGCAAGCCTGAGGTTTAAGTGCCATTTTTAGCCAGTTCCAGTTCAATTCCCACCCCTCACAGATATCTATGGACATCTCAGAAATGGTGTGGTCTCACAACCAAGAGATGCCATCTTGCCGTTGCACAAAATAAAGAGATCATCTGTATTTTTACTGAAGAGATTTTCTTGTCCGTGGCGGAGTTTGGGACAGCACCACTACAGGCGGGCAAGCTCAGCTCATCGAAGCAAAGGTCCTCTGTCCAGGCCTGCCAGTCTCTCCAGCAGACAAGGGAGGCTGGGCAGAGGCCAAGTGGATGCAATGCTTAAGATTGGCAGCGCACGGGCTCCTCTTAACCCTGGGGGTCAGTGTGGCCGGCTGCTGGATTCTGAGCACTGATGCTGGCGGTGAGGAGCATAGCCGTTCAAGTAGCCATTGCAGTGGCGCTTGCCGTGACCGCCATTCAAGATGTCCTGAATGTGTTGGACAATGAGGTTGATGGCCACTAGGGTGAAGAGAGAAAATGAAGGGTGACTGAGAAAGAAAGTCTACATCAAAATGAAAACTGGTGCCAAAAACCTTGTTATACCCCAGAGAAGATTATGCCCCAAGTGATATAAAAAGCAGAGACATTCATCTCTGAATTCTCCAGTCCCCAAGTGATATAAAAAGCAGAGACATTCATCTCTGAATTCACCATCTGCCTTTATACCTCATTCTCAGCAGCTGTACTCTGCATTGTGATATTTCATGTCTCTATTAATATTTCTGCCCTTTTCCTGTTCTGTCCCTCTGCCCTACTGCACTTCTCCTTTACTAATGGGGACTGCTAATTTTTTTTCTAGAAAGCTATTAAAATTCATCTCTCTTTTTTTTTTTACTAAATCTGTTCACATTCAGCTGAAACCAAGGCTGTAAAGTCCAGCTTGGCCATCCCTACCTCCAACCTCGCCGCCTGCCCTGTGGCATCACAAGTGCCTGTTTTTCCTTCTATTGTTCCTGCCCAGCATCTTCTGTGGCAGTCCACTTCACTCTTGAACAGTCTGTACCCTCAAGAAGTTCCTCCCAATGTTCAGCTGAAATCCTTTCCCTTCTAAATCGAACCCTCTGGTTTCAGTCCCACACTATGGAGCACAGCCCTTCAAATAGCTGAGGATGGCTATCATAGTCACCTCCTAATTGTCTCATGTTCAGACTAAATATCACTTCTTCTCTGGACCTGCTCAGTGTGTCTAACTACCCTAAAGGGATATTATTTCTCATCCTAATTCACCTCCAGCAAGATTAATGTGCCCAATCTTGCAAAGCTTGTTGAGCAGGTGTCATTTGCCTCCACAAGAACAGGCAGGAACAGGGGCAAAGACGTAGCAAGACTGCTGAACACAGTGTTGAACAGTCAACAGTTATTATTATGCACTCTGCACATATACCGAGACCCCTGCAGTCAGCCCTTCCTTCTCTATCAAGCCGGGGTCTACAACCTCTGGCTTACTAACTGTTGTTGGACTGCCATGTCCATCAGCCCTAACCAGCATAATGAGAGATGATAGGAGCTGCTGTCTAACAACATCTGGAAAGCCACAAACTGGCTACCCTGCTATAAAGGATCAAGAAGCACTACTGGCTCAGAGCGCTGGAAGAAGCAAAAGCCACCTCGGTAATATCTTGGCCATGACAATCTTTCTGAATTATCTAAAACTGACAAACAAGGTCCAGAATATGGGGACGTCTGAATGAACCATCATTCCACCCAGTGTATCCTCAGCTTACCGAGGTTATCCACTCCCCTTGGGATAATGACATCAGCATACTTCTTGGTCTGCAAGAAAGAAGGAAACAATGTTATAGAAGCTGCAGGTGGGATCAGGAACTGTTAATTTTGTCCTCCTTCTTGGGAGAGTTAGCTGAGAGTTATTATTTTCTCCTCAAGAAAAATGCATAAAAACTGGATCTCCCTTTTCTTGTTGTTCTCTTCCCTTTGCAAGGCTGGTGCAAGGCCATGTATGCCACAACAACCACCTTGAAGAACTGTCCCTTCCTCTGACATCAGAAACCACAAACATTTGACAATTTCCAGAGGGCCAGTAATGATAACCTCTTGCAACAAGAACAAAAAGTCTGTGGTACCTTTAGAAACCAAGACATGTATTGAGGCCTATGAGTTTTGCAGACTGCAGTCCATTGCATCAGATGCATGAAATGCTATCCTCAGCTGGCATCTGAGGAAGAGGACTAGTTCACAAAAGCTGCTGCCTAATACTTTTCTTACTCTGCTAGGTGTCATCAGGCTCTGCAAAGAACAGGGCAGCTGTTGCAGGACTGCTCAAGGAAGACCCACAGAAACATACCATTAAATTCCTGACAGCATTTGTATTTGTAACAACTCTACCCATGCTGGATAAAAATGTGAGGAAACACAACAACTGCCAAAGGCCTATAGAGTGTTGTCAATATGACTCGTTGTTTCTGAGACCCAAATGAAAAAAAGTTTCAGCAAAACAAGCCAAACAGCATAATCCATGTAAAGGAATGACGTCTGGGTTTCCAGCATGGAAACTGAATACCACTGTCAGGTGGTCAAATACAGTTAGTTCAGCAAACACTAAAACTGTGTAATTTATGTCAGATTCTTCCGTTAGATGTTAATGAAGCATGCAGCACAGCGTAACTATTGTTGTTCACAGTTGTTGTTCACAAGACCTTCTTTACCCCCAATCAACAGTTAAAACTGTTGTTGTTCACAGTTGTTGTTCACAAGACCTTCTTTACCATCACCCCCTCCACATGAAGAGAAGCATGCTTCCCTAGATGGGAGTAAGGGAACCTGACTTAACACTTTCCTTTTCTGAATCTTGCAGCCACTCACAAACTCTCATGCCCAGGTTTGACAGTGGGGCAAAAAGCCCTTTTACTCACAGGCAGGCAGAATTCTTCAAAGGCTGGCTTGACAAAGGTAATGTACTGAGATAAGATTTGCTCTAGGTCTCTGCCTCGCTCACTGATGTCTCGCAGAACTGCAGAGTGAAGAACAGAGAAAAAATGAGAAGGTGTGTGGAAACAACAGAACAAGCACACACCCACATTCACAGGTTGTCCAGCCAAAGAGAAAATGAAAGGTCTAAGCAGCTTGTTTTTGTTCCCTGGAAAGAGAATATACAGTACTCTAGTCACAGAGGGGAGGTTCAAAGAAGAGGAAGAAATACCTTGAACACTGAGGTATCTTTTTCTTAAAATCAATAGTAGCAGCAAACTGTGCCAAAGAGGAGAAATACAACTCCCTTACAACACAAAGCCAAGCTAGACTAAGCTGGAAGGTCTCTTGGAAATGACCCAAGCAAGATGTTCTTATGTTCTTGCCAACAGACATATCCAGGTTTGCACGGGTTAGAAACGCCACAGTCCCTGACTCTGGGGTGTTTTCCCTCTGGTCCACCTTAATGCTCTTTCTCTTTCTCTCTACACCAAGCTCTGATGGTTCTGTTTCCACTTCGCTCGAATATCTATCCTGGTGGCCTTCTTCTCCCATTGAGCAAAAAGCAGTCACATGTTGGAAAAGACTAGGAAAAATATATAGCCTTGCAGGGGTGAGACTAGCATCTTTGGTGGGTGATACAAATATCTTCAAGCAACATTATGGAGCTATAAAAGGTGGACACATTTTCTCAGTACAGTACAGTGTAAGCAAAGGCAGACTGTGGGGACCAAAAGATTCCTTCTGCCTTCCTATGAGGCATTCCTCATAACTTTGCAGGGACACTGATGAGGTATTCCTCAGAGGAGAGACTGGATGCAATTCACAGAGCAATCTTCTTTAAATCCTACTGTGTATAGGATTTCAATCTCAGAAAGGCAAGACCCGTAGAGCAGAGGTAGATGATGGGTGATGATGGTCATCAAAGCCCTGCAGAGACATACAGCTGTGCTAATTCTGTGGATGCATATGCAGCACTCATGCACAATGGGAGAAATCTCCATTCACAATTCATTCTCATTTAAAACACATTTCAGTCACTTCTGCACCTGTAGCAAGAAGGTGTCACCCCAAACAACTCACCCCTGCGAGACAGCCGAGTATCAGCATCAGTATCCACAAAAAGCTTCATTTGGAAAAGGTCCCGAACCTCCTGGTTATAGAAGGCTAGGATGCCTTCAAATAGCACAACATCAGCAGGATACACAGTTACAGTCTCTTCTTTGCTATTATGACACAGAGATGATGATAATAATAATAATAATAATAACAACAACAACAACAACAACAACAACAACAACAACAACAACAACAACAACAAAAAACTCCAGTGCAGAGTGCCAATCAGAAAAGCAGTTTTGACTGGAAAGGTATCTGCCCACCATAACTATATGCTGCTGCTGCTTCTAGTAAGATAGTTGTTTATTTTGAACCTGAAATTATTTTTTGTTACTTATAATTATGTCTGAGGCCTGTGTGGGACCAAAAATTTAGGCATGTTAAGTATAAACAGGCAAACAAGCATGACGAATTGGAAATCTTAGTTCAAGAGGCTAAATATGACTTGACAGGGATAACTTAAAACTTGATGGGAGGACTCCCATTACTAGAATACAGCAATTGGAGGATATAAATTATTCAAAGAGAACAGAAAGAATAGAAAGGGAAGTGGAGTTGTACTATATGTCAAAATGCATATTCCGTTCCTTCATCCTCCTGTATTTCCTCAGTTGTCCCATCGAGAGCATCTGAGGTGAAAAACAAAGGAACATAGTAGTTGGAGTCTACTATCAACTGCCCTATCAACATGAAGTTGCAGATGAAACCTTTGAATTGCAAAAATTTCAAACAGACACAATGTAGTAAAAATGGGAGATTTTGGTTATCCTGATAAGAGATGGGGCTATTTATATACAATTACAAATACACCCGCATAGGTGGACATAACGAAGGTCCAGCTCCCACACAATGTAGTAAAAATGGGAGATTTTGGTTATCCTGATTAGAGATGGGGGTATTTATATACAATTAAAAATACACCCACACAGGTGGACATAATGAAGGTCCAGCTCCCGGCAGCCAGACCGTCCACTCACCCCTCCGCTGCTGCAGCTGGCTTCATGCTCCCTTCCAATTGCTCCAGAACTGACGAGTGCCTAGTTGACCACGAGCTCTAAAAATGGGAGATTTTGGTTATCCTGATTAGAGATGGGGGTATTTATATACAATTAAAAATACACCCACACAGGTGGACATAATGAAGGTCCAGCTCCCGGCAGCCAGACCGTCCACTCACCCCTCCGCTGCTGCAGCTGGCTTCATGCTCCCTTCCAATTGCTCCAGAACTGACGAGTGCCTAGTTGACCACGAGCTCTGGAGCTACTGGAAGGGAGCGCGGAGCCAGACGAATACCTCCATCTCTAATCCTGATATCTGCCAAACATGTCCTGTCCAAAAAATTCCTGCCTTGTGTTGCTGGTAATTTTCACTGATGAAAGGTGGAGGAAGAAAGTAGAGGATTAGCTATCCGTGACTCAATTCTAACCAATAGAAATGATTTGGGTCCGGGGTCTCCAAACTACGGCCCGTGGGCCGGCCACATCTAGCCCACGTTGCCATTTTATCCAGCCCGTTCCCTTCAGTCCATGTGCGGGGGGAGCAGAGGGGCGTGTGTGTGTGTGCAGGCAGGCATCTATGCATGGAGGGTCGGGCAGGCACGTGCATGCGTGCGTGCGTGCAGGGGTGTGTGTCTGTGCAAGGGGCAGATGGGGTGCATGCATGTGTGTGTATGTATGGGCGGTGTGTGTGTGTGTGGGCGGTGTGTGTGTGTGTTTGTGTGTGTGTGTGTGTGTCTGCAGGCGGCTGGGTGGCCACGTGTCCACACGTGTGCACACACATTCATTCCTGTTCCTTCAGCCTTCAAAAACTTCGCAAATATCTGGTGTGGCCCTCACTGTAAAAAGTTTGAAGACTCCTAACTTAGGGGAAGAAATGGCAGGAAGAGGAAATATGGGGGAAAGTGACCTTGTTTTACTTGAGTTCTTGATTTCCAAGGAAACAAAAACAGAGTAAATCCACGTGCATATTCTGGATTTTTAAGAAACACAATTTTAATAAACTCAGAACAATGATAAGTAAGGTCCCATGGCAAGAGACCCTAACAAGGAAAGGAGCTCAAGGTGAGTGAGAGTTTCTTTAAAAGGAAATTTTAAAAACACAACTACAAATAATTCCAAGAAGAAGAACAGAAGGGAGGAAAACAGGGGGGAAGGCCAATGTAGCTTCACAAAAAGCTCAGAGAGGATGTGAAAATAAAAAGGAAATATAGGCAATGAAAGGAAAGCCAGGCCACAAAGGAAGAATACAGACAAGTAGTCGAGAATTGCAGGGATGGCCTTTGGAAGGTAAAAGCTGAGGATGAAATGAGCTTACCAAGAGACATTGAAATCAAGGGGGAAAAGCAGTCTTTAGCTGCACATGAAGCAAAAGACAAAGAAAAGAAAAAGTAGTTCAGCTACTCAGTGGGGATGAGAAAATGGTAACAGATGACAAAGAAAAGCCAGAAGTGCTCGATTCCTACTTTAGCTCAGTCTTTTCCCAAAAGACAGTCTATGATCTTCCAGATGAATGTGAAGTACAAGTGGGAGGGGACAGGATTGCAGTTTGAGAATAATAAACAAATAGTCAAGGAATACCTTACTATATATTCGCAAAGGCTTTTACGGCCGGGATCTAATGGTGGTTCTGGGTTTTTCGGGCTCTTTGGCCGTGTTCTGAAGGTTGTTCTTCCTAACGTTTCGCCAGTCTCTATGGCCGGCATTTTCAGAGCACAGGTTGCTGTCCTCTGAAGATGCTGGCCACAGAGACTGGAGAAACGTTAGGAAGAACAAACTTCAGAACACGGCCAAAGAGCCCAAAAAACCCACAACAACCAATACCTTACTACTTTGAACAAGTCCAAATCTCCAGGGCCTGATGAACTGCATTCAAGAGCACTGAAGGAGCTGACTAAAGATTATTGTTACTTTCTTCAAATCATAGATTGGTGAAGTGTCAGATGTTTGGAGGAGGGTTACCATTGTCCCTATCTTCAAAAGGAACAAAAAGAGGAGGAATCTGGGAACTTGTTCAGATCTCCAGGGCTGGATGAATTACATTCAAAAGCATTGAAGTGCATGAAGAACCTGGCTGAAGAACTCTCAGAACCACTGTCTATTATTTTGTTGAAATCATGGAGGATGGGTGAAGTGCCAGATGACTGGAGGAGAGTAGTGCCCCTTTGTATGAAGGACTCTGTGTGGCACCACACCCTGGCCAGACTGAAAGAACTGGGAATGTTCTTAAGAAAAGAAGACTGAGGGGAGATATGATAGCACTCTTCAAATACTTGAAAGGCTGTCATACAGAGGAGGGGTAAGATCTGTTTCTCAATCATACCAGAGTGCAGAACACGTAATAATGGTCTTAAGTTAAAGGAAATCAAACTTAGTGTGAATATCAGTAAAAACTTATTAACTATTAGAGTAGTATGACAATGGAACCAATTACCTCAAGAGGTATTCAAGAAAAAATTAGGCAACCAGATGTCAGATGTACTTTGATCAAAATCCTGCATTGAGCAGGGGGTTGGAATTGAGGGCCTTATAAACCCCTTCCAACTCCCTTATCGTATGATTCTATGATATTCTATAAGACATATAAATATCTGTATAAATACAAAAAAAATGTCAGGTGGTGGACTGTTCACTGAAATCACTGAGTATTCCACTCAGCTTAGGGAAGAAGTGAGAATGCTTATGACAATACCACCTTAGCACGGATTTTGAATCCCTCTTACCTAAGCAAGTACCGGCTTTCCTTGAACATGCACCTCAGCACTGTAGCAGTTTCCAATGAGGTAGCTATCTGTTTCAGCATATATAGTTGGGAACTAGTTTATTGTGTGTATATGTGTATATATACATACAGTAGTACCTCGACGTATGAACGTCTCTACTTACAAACATTCTGAGTTACTAACAGCTCCATTCACAAAATTTTTCTTTGACTTGCGAATGGAGCTTCGACTTACGAATGGAAAAAAAAACTTCCCTGCCTTTTTTTTTGGCCTAAGTTCATCTTAGGTCAAAAGATAAAGAAAATTTTTTTAAATCTCCCCCTAGTGGTAGAGTACAGATTAACCGGCTTTGCATTAGTTCCTATGGAAACTAATGCCTCTACTTGCGAACAGCGCCTCAACATAAGAACGAAAAACAGCCGGAACAGATTAAATGGTTTTCAATGCATTCCTATGAGAAATTTTGCCTCAACTTACGAACTTTTTGATGTACGAACGCCATTCCAATATATATGTACACACAATAAACTAGTTCCCAACCTTGGGTAACCCAAGTATTTTTGAACTACAACTCCCAGAAGCCTTCACCACTAGCTGTGGCTTCTGGGAGCTGCAGTCCAAGAACACCTGGGTTACCCATGGTTGGAAAGTACAGTGGTGCCCCGCATAGCAACGATAATCCATTCTGAAAAAATCGTTGCTATCCTGATTCATCGCTATGCGGAGGAAAAAAAACATAGGAATGCATTAAAACACATTTAATGCGTTCCTATGGGGGAAAACTCACTGCTATGCGGAAATCCTCCATCTGACTGCCATTTTCGCTGCCTGGTAAGCAAGGAAAGGGTGCGAAAACACTGCGGGCGGCCATTTTGTTTACCCGGTGGCCATTCTGGAACCGCCAATCAGCTGTTTTTAAAACATCGTTATGCGATAACCAGTAAGCGAAACGCTTACCGATCATCGCAAAGCGATTTTTAGCCATCTAAAACATCACAATGCGATTGCTTTTGCGATCGCAAAAACCTAATCGCTATGCAGATTCATCGTTAAACGGAGCCCTCGTTATGCGGGGCACCACTGTACCGTCCTAGAGGAAAACCCTGAGGTGGATTGCTTTGCCACTTTTCCCAGGAAAGGAATGTTCACCGAAAGCCAATACTGGCTTAGGTGTGATGGATCCGAATTATGGTTTGCTTCAGTGCAATTAAAATCTCATTGTCTCTGATAATGGCATTAACAATCTTTGTTGTCTAACAGGACAACTGCATCCTGTTTGCTTCTATCAGTTAGCAAGGACCAGCATATTTTATGCCATGTCTATGAATCTTATATACCTCCTCAGGCTACCCAAAGGGAAAAAGAATTGTACACCTATAAGCCACAGATACATCTAGAACTGTTCCAGGAGAACAGGAGTCTACATCAGAGAAGTTTTATAACAGCTATGATTTGAAAAGTACAAATTATTCATGTACATTTCAATGGGCTCTTCCAGTTTCCCTTGGGTCTAATATTATAAAAGGCCCCTTGCCATCTGGAATAGTTTCATTGACTAGAACAGTCCAGATGCAATGGCATGGGAGAAGATAGATTTGTCTATCATAATTGCTGCCATGGAGTGGTCCTAAAATAGGGTCTAGGTCTGTATTTGATTGGATTTGTGGTACCTAAGCTGGGTGAAAGTTACACCTTCCTCGCTAACGCAGGTGGGTGTGGTACCTAAGCTGGGTGAAAGTTACACCCTCGCTAACGCAGGTAGGCATCAGAAGTGCAATTAATACACCTAACCCAACATGGACTCTTTTTTTCTTTTATTGTAGAAAAACATCCAAGGTACACTGTTTTTCACAGATAGAAGGTGGGTGTTGGAAGAGGCTTTCCCCCCGCTAATTAATTACACTTTTGGCAGTATGTAATTCCCAGTCTCACCCACTCCCCATTTTTTCACACCAAGTATGGCTTCACTGCTAAATATCTGAGCCAAGAAGATGGAGGAGTCATAACTATTTATTGTGAAGACGTTATGAAGAACTGAGTGGCAATTTCTGCTAACGAGCAGCATGTTCAGACGGCACCATGTCCCAACCACAAAGCAAAGAGGGGAAGAAAGAGACTTACCGAGAATGGGAGACAAAGTCATAAACAGGTATCTGAACTGTCTTCCCCTCCGTGATCTCCCTGAGTGTTTTGATAATCAGTTCATTGTCAAAGGCATCTATAGAGAGAACAGGAAACACAGTTTTAAAGGTTTGTAGCTCTCAGTGTGACACCTCAACAGCTTCCAGAGGAAATGCCAAGTTCCTAGAGATCCCTCCTAGCCTTACATTTACACAGTCCCAAAAACCAACACTTGGATAGCCAAGAGAAAAACTGTGATTACGAACTTGCTTTCCATGCCATGCCTGGCAGTGTTGACCTGGGAAGTCACAGTCTGGAGTGAGCCAACTCTGGTAGTGACTGCACAGAGATGTCTAATGTGTCCTGGAAGCATCTGCCAAGAAAGTTCCCATGCTTCAGTTTTCTGTGCCTCTGCAATGCAAATTTAGCTTTGCGTGGCAAATGTGGTCCAGATGTCTTAGCCACACAGAGGATGCCAAAGAAAACTCCAGCCCTTTTCCCAACCATGGAAGTGGTAGGAATCAGGAGATATTTGCCCTTCTTTTCAGCCTCAAGCATAGAAGCAAAGCCTCTTATGTTCATGAACTTTGGGACCAACCTCTGCTCTTATATTCTTGTCCACTCCTGTTCAATTAAAGGAAGCTTCCACTGAGAAATGTGGTGGAGGAGCACGACTATGAATGGTTGGGCCTTTTCAGCTTTGGCAGGTATATGGTGGCTCTGTCTAGGAGGTATGTTTCTTTACTCATTATTTTCCAGCTCTTGGTGAAAACATTTGTCTTTAAGGAGGTGTTTGTGGTGTTGGTAACATGATTTTTTGGTACAGTCTGCAAACGAGTAGCGTATACAGTGGAGTCTCGACTTACGGACGGCTCCACTTATGAACTTTTCGAGATCCGTACTTCTCCGGCCGCAAAGTTTCACTTCGACTTGCGGCCGGAGAATCGACCTACGGACCAGAAGAGGGAGGCGGGGAAAGCACCAAATTCAAATTTGGCACTTTCCCTGCCTCCCTCTTCCAGTCCATAGGCCGCGGATCTGCCTCCAGATGCCTGCCAGGGCTTCTCTTCCACCATGAGAGGCATCTCGGAGTTCCCACCTCACCGCTGACAGTGCGTCAGAGGCGCTATTGGTGGTGGTGGTGGAACTCTGAGATGCCTCTCATGGCGGCGGAGAAGCCCTGGAAGGCATCCGGAGGTCACCTGCCACCGCTGGGATCCAAGCCACGGCCTCTCATGGCGGCGGAGAAGCCCTGGAAGTCCTCTGGCAGCAGCGATGACGGCGGGGGACACCTGGAAGGCTTTGAAAAGAAATCCCGGCCATGCTCGGACTCCTGGGAGTAGCCCGGGGAGTAGACCGGGCCTACCGGGGGAAGCCCTCCCCTGGCAGGCCCGGTCCATTCAGGGAAAGCCTGCGGCGGCAGCGGAAGAGCTCCGAGAGGCCTCCGACAGCGGCACCAAAGCTCTCGGAGTCCTCCGGCAGCAGCAATGACGGCAGCGGGGGACACCTGGAAGGCTTTGAAAAGGTAAGGTGTGTAATTTTTAAAATTTATTTTAATTTTGTGGGGGGGTGTTTCTTGGGTGGGTTACAAATTAATGGGTTTTCAATGCATTCCTATGGGAAATGCATTTTTGACCTACAGACTTTTCAACCTACGGACACCGTTCCAATATGGATTAATTCCATAGATTGAGGGTCCACTGTAAGTCTGTAATTGAGCAAAACCAATAAAGAGTCCAAAGGCAATGAAAAGATGAATTTAGCCTATGAAAGTCTATGCCATGATAAATTATTTAGGTGCTACAACACTGATTATTTTTGTGGGGTTTTTTTTCATCATTTATTGCCTTCACTGTTGTTTTTTACTTGCTTCCTTTATCTCTTTATGAGTTATGCCTTTGCCTTGGTTTAATTTTTTTTTTAATGACACTATGCATTTCTGCTCTAATAGAATTTTTGTTAGCTCCAGATCAGGACTTTTTCTCCCACCGTGAAGTCTTTCAACGCTATCTGTAATCTATTAGTTCATGCAGCTGCTTCATTTGTTCCCATGGAACACCTCCTAACAGCTCCCAGTTTCCACACCAAAAAGGGCTCAATGACATTTCAGTCTATTGACTCTAGCCAGTATTGAAAGGAGGAGGAAAAAGTGGGTCTCTGAACATCCCTTCCTTCCCAGCCTCAATAAGAAGTCACCTGGGTGGTCAAAGTTGAATTGGCCCTTGAGGGCTTTGGCTTTCTGTTCTGTGGTGAGTATCCGGTAGAAGCTGTCTTGACTTAGAATAACAACCTGTTTCTGGTGATGATCTACTTCATTCTGTCCCAGCAACTGGACAATTTTGGCACAGACAGAGGACTGCAAAAGATACAAAGAAAATAGAGTGAGCAGGAATCTTGGCACTGGCAGAATGTTTTTAAGAGGAAGCAAAAGGACTTACAGGAGAGTGTATAGGGCTCTACAAAACTCCCGATTTCTATAGGATGAGGCTTCTTGCACAATGCCCTCCACCTAGATTCATTCTAGGTAATGTGATGGTGGCAGTGACTGGACAGACAACCTTCAAAAACAAGGAGGAGGTATTTTGGATTTACTGTATTTCTAAACTGTGGCTTTCGGCCAGAATAATACAGGTTTAAAATCAACTGGCCTATATATAAAATGTCTGCAACTACGATGGCACGTTAAGCTGAAAAAATATCAAAATAACAAATGGATGGTACTTCTATCAGGACCCCCAAAATGTTATACAACAGTTTGTGAGCTTTGTAGGACCTACTATGTAAAGTCACCTACCCAGATTTTGAGCACTGGAATACGACAACCATAATCATATACTAGATTTTTTTAAAAATCCACGTTTATGAACTGAAATCTGTCTGTCTAAAACAATAGAGTATTGAATATGCAGTCCAAATATCAAATAGGTTTTCTTTCCATCCCATGCTTATTTTTCTTTATTTGCCCCATATACCCATTTTGACTTCCCTAGTAAGACTCATTTGAGATCAGCTCTAAACATTGTTTTGAGATGGTGTGGCACAGGACCTTTGAAAGTACTGGATCCTTTAGCTTAAATTTATTGTAAGAGAAATAGATATCCATTGTGTTGTAGTGGCTAGAGCGGCAGACTTGGACTCAGGAGGCTGGGTTCAAATCTTCACTCAGCCATGGAAACACACTGGACAAATGAAACTGGTACAGCCACTCCTTAATATCTCCATTACCTTGAAACCCCTATTAAGGTAAAGGTTCCCCTTGACATTTTTAGTCCACTTGTGTCCAACTATAGGGGGCGGTGCTCATCCCATTTTCAAGCCGTAGAGCCAGCGCTTGTCCGAAGACAGTTTCCATTATCACGTGGCCAGCGTGACTAGGGAACGCCGTTTTACCTTCCCACCGAGGTGGTACCTATTTATCTACTCGCATTTGCATGCTTTCGAACTGCTAGGTTGGCGAGGAGCTGGGACAAAGCACTGGGAGCTCCCTCCGTTGCGTGCATCCGATCTTACGACTGCTGGTCTTCTGACCCTGCAGCACAGGCTTCTGCGGTTTAGCCCACAGCGCCACCACGTCCCTATTAGGGTTGCTATAAGATGTTTCTGACTTGATAGCACTTAGCAACAAATAAGAGGAATAGGCTTCACTGAAACCTTTTAGTGTGCGTGACATGGTTGATGTGGGCAAAATACAGTGGTGCCTCGCTTAACGAGCGCACTGTTTAATGACGAATCCGCGTAGCAAATCCGCATAGCGACGTTTAGATAGGCAAAAACTCGCATTGCGATGATGAGTAAGCGTTTCGCTTACCGATCTTCGCATTGCGATGTTTTTACAACAGCTGATTGGTGGTTCTAAAATGGCCACCGAGTGCCCAAAATGGCCACCGCAAGTGTTTTTGTGCCCTGCCCTCACTTACCAAGGGTGCGAAAATGGCGGCGCTAGAGGAACTTCGCTGAACGGTGAGTTTGGGCCCCATAGAAACGCATTAAACTAAGTTTAATGCATTCCTATGGGGTTTTTCGATCCGTTTAATGATGTTTTGCATAGCGACGATTAATCCGGAACAGATTAACGTCGCTATGCGGGGCACCACTGTAAGAGTTTTTAAAGGATATTTCTGTGTTTAAATATTTTTTGTAAGTTCACCACTTATATATACAAGCTACATTTGATGGGAGATTATATTTCTTGGAACTGCAGAGCTAGAAAGGATCCTATAGATCAGTGGTTCTTAACCTTTGTTACTCGGATGCTTTTGAACTGCAACTCCCAGAAACCCCAGTCAGGCCAGCTGGTGGTGAAGGCTTCTGGGAGTTGCAGTCCAAAACTCCTGAGTAACCCAAGGTTAAGAACCAGTGCTATAGATCATCAAGTCCAGGCCCTGTCAAGGAGGCCCAGTGAGGAGTCATAGCAACCTTTAGCTATTCAGCCAAATGCCTCAACTACTGAGCAAGAGAGACATGCTCTCAAGTTGGTTAGAACTTAAGGTGACCCTTATGGCACTTCCAAGGCACGTCAAATGCTGAAGGATGGTTTTACCAGTGCTAACCTCCCCTCTATGACTTCCCATGGCTCTGTGGGGATAGGAACCTAAGTGTCTTACATCATAATATGACATTCAATCCACTTCGCTGTACTGCTTTTCTGTATTTTGGCATTTGTTTAGTATTTTTGACATTTTTGGTGTGCACTCCTTTTTGGTCCTAATAAACAGGCTGCATTATTTTGTGATGTCCATTTTTATGATGTCTCAAAATTTAAAATCAAGGAATTTTAAAATAAATTCTCAATTAGTGGCATATGAATCTTTTTCAGATGCATTCCCAAGGAAGAGTTTAAATACTTCCAATGTGTTGTGCAATGCATTGTTCCCACTGTACTTTTGAGGCCTCATACTGTTCTGTTTGAGCCAAGCAACAAGCTCTGCCATTCCTGCTGATGGGAAAGGGCTTCCAAGGAGGCTTGGCGCCCTTGCTTATTGAAATTAAGCACTGCAGCATGAGACTGGGGAAATGATGACTGAGAGGAATGATAAAGCAAAATGGAACTCATCTTTTTGCTCAGCGTGCGTTACCCCTAAGGCAGCTGCTCCTACTGAAGTGGCTTTTTTTTTTCACCTTGAGGTTGTCAGCTGCCATAGATTGCAAAAAAGTTGTGGCTTCTGAAAAGGCACTTCCTCCCACCTTAAGAGCCACTCCCCATTCCAACATAACATGCTTCACAGACATAATACGGCTGGGAAAGTCGGGTTTGTTTTGTTTTTTTAAAGACATGGTTACATTCACAGAACAAGGGTTCACACAAAGCCAGAATACAGATATTATCAGAAAAGACTATAATATAAGATAACCCAGCCATCTCATTCCACCCCTCAACCTGGAAAGGTCCCTTCTAATATAACAGAACAGCAAGACCATTTATTCCAAACAATCAGGCAAGAAGACACTGCCAGCACACTGCAAGCAATTTTTCATGAAAAAAGGCCTTCATTGGACAAATATTCTGCCTTTAACAATCCAGTGGCTTGGTCAGAATGGCTGTGCAAATTAATAAATTTGGACAGGGCGACATGGAATTCTGTCTCACAGATCCAGTAACAACTAGGGAAGGATTAGGAGCTGCTGCCCCAGGTATCCACTGATCTCTTACACCTGAGATGGGTAGAAAGACTTCATGAGAAAAATGCATCCAACAATCTCAAGTCCTTGTTCTGCTGTGGAAACAGGCTGACCCAGGCATTAGCCAGGGCGAGGCAGCTGCCTCAAGCAGTGAAGGGCTGGGTGTGGCGGCACAGCTGCCTACTACTCTCTGTTGCCTGAACTGGCCACCGCAGTCTCCCCACCTCCATTAAGCAGCCCCTTCCTGGCTGGTTATGTGCATAATGACTGGCCCCAAAACTAGCCAAAGTTACCCACCCATGCTCTCTAGCACAGAAGAAGAAAAGGACACAGCTGCTAGATAGTCCTTAATTTCACATGTATGCTGGGGTCAATGAAACTGGCATATGAATTTTATTTGTTACCAGTTCTATCTGCAGAAGAAATATATAAAACGCAGGATGAACTCCTAGGGCAGAGAGAGAACGCACCGGGTTATTATCTCATTCTGACTTCTATGGTAAACCAGCGTAGCTGTATACGGTTATTTGTGTCAAAATCTCCCATGGAGACTTTCCAGCTAGACGCTTGTCTGCCTCTAGAATAAGTAGGGTCTTGCAGAAAAGTAGAGAAATCCAAGCATGTAATGGGGCCTGACAGGGGCTGCTGACTGCGGGCAGGCTGTGTCCATCTTGTTACCAGCAGCTACTAGTCCAAGAATTGAGGAGGGGAGCTTTAAGCCTGCCTGAAAGTCTTACTGCCAGCCCTAAAAAGCCTGCCATAAAGTCTCAAAGGTGTGGAAATGTGATAGCTGCAATAGAACAGGTGGAACACACATATATGCTCAGAGGCACTCTCTGCGGATACTTTCCAAAGCTGAGACCCAAGTTTTTAAAAATAAGAGGTGCTGGGTTCACACCTACCTTTAAAAAAAACTCCTTTCAGGACTGGCAGCCCTGACTCTTAACTCCAAATATTTCAGATGTGCCTTTGGGGTTTCCCCAATAGCGGACACATGAAACAGCATGCCTCTAGCTTGTGCTCTTTTATTTAAAGGAGAGCTCTGGGGCTGAGCCCCCCCCCCCCAAGGCAGCCTTGAGAATTCCCGAGCAACCGGGGAGGGGGAGACACACGGACCCTAGACGGACGGGCGGGCGGGCGGACGCAGCTGCGCTCCTGGCCTTGGACTTCCCATCGACGGCAATCGCGGGGAGGCTAGCGCCGGCCAGCTAGGCTCACCTCTCTCCAAGCACCTCCAGCCGGCTCCGGCGCGCCCAGGAGGCAGCAACATAGCCAGGCAACCGATGCCTTCCTAAGTCAGATATGGGGAACCCGCGCCCTTTCAGCTTGTGCTGGACCGCAAATCCCATCATCCCTCACTGCGCTGACTAAGGCCGATGGGAGCAGCAATCCAACCTGACTGAGAGGGCCACATGGCCTTCTCCCCCGCCCTCGATGCTTTTGCCATGGCGGCCGCCAGATATCAGGCGGGCACCCAAGATCTTCCGGCCCCAGCCGCCGCCCCCGCCCCTTGGCCAGTTGAGGGCAAACCGATCCCGCCGGGACGCTCGTCGGGGATCACAGCCACTCTCGTCCCCACCGGTCGGAAGGCATGATGATTATTACCACCACGTGCGCGGGTCTGACCCTGGCAAGCGGCGGCTTCTGCACACGTGGCAGGCGCGGGCGACGTGCCCCAGAAGGGCACGCCACACACTTCCACCTGGGTCCCGGATCCAGCCGGGAACAACGGGGAGGGAGAGAAAGCGCG